AACATAACTTATATATAATTTTATATATAAAATATTTATAAGATAAAAGGGTCTAAACTCTTATATAAATATGAAATAAGATTACATATATGTGTGGGTATATATATAAATAATACAAAGACCTTATGATATAATGTCCTTAAATAATTTAGAGAAGAGGTACTTCTAAATTTCTAGACAATACCAAAATGTTTGAGTACTACTCTGGAGATCAAGGTGATCTCTCCAGGTTGATTGGTGAAGAGGCCAAGTGTATTTCATTTTGCACATTTTAGACATGTTTAAGAAAAATACATTTGGAGAAAAAATTTCACACCATATTTATAAGATGAAAGAGTCTAACTACTAGTAATGTCTCAGTAAAGGGACCTGAAAGTTGTATATTCTTTGCCAAGAATGTCCAACATTTTGGACACTTTGCCAAAGAGACCAACTAAGTACATCCTCAGGAAGAAGCTGAGGCAGGAAATATCAAACAGCTTCTGACTGGTTTAAAATATATACATATATTTAAATCCCAAGGTGTCTTCACACATTAAACAGTCATCCCTGCGTACCCATGGGGGATTGGTTCCAGAACCTCCCAAGGATACCGTAATTCAAAGATGCTCAAGTCCCTGATATAAAATGCTATAGTATTTACATATAACCTATGCACATCCTCTGTATGCTTTAAATCATCTCTAGATTACTTATAATACCGAACATAATGTAAATGCTACATAAGTAGTTGTTCTATTTTATTGCTTAGGGAATAATGACAAGAAAAAAAGTTGGTACGTGTTCAGTACAGATGCAGGTTGAATCCACAGATGCAGAGCCCATGGATATGGAAGGCCAGCTGTACTGTGTTGAAATATGACTCCTCAAGAGAAACAGCAGAGCAGGAACATGTTCAAAGAAAGGACAACTAAGGCTGGGCTCAGTGGCTCATGCCTGTTATCCAAGCAATTTGGGAGGCCGAGGCAGGAGGATAGCTTGGGCTCAGAAATTTGAGATGAGATTAGCCTGGACAACATAGTGAGACCCTGCTTCTACAAGAAAAAAAAAAAATAATCAAAAATATTAGCCAGTCATGATGGTGCACGCCTGTGGTCCCAGCTATTCAGAAGGCTAAGGTGGGAGAATCACTTGAGCCCAGGAGGTCAAGGCTGCAGTAAGCCATGGTTGCACCATGGCACTGCAGCCTGGGTGACAGAGTGACCCTGTCTCCAAAAAAAAAAAAAAAAAGGAAAAATGATTTATTTCCCTGGAAGTTAGGGAGATGAGCTCAGTTTGTGAATGACCACAGCATATGGGATTGGAACTTCAGCAGGAAGGGCGGTGTCATTGTGAGGAGCCTGGCCTGTGTTCCCCAGTCAAACCAAGTTAACGCCCTTGGATATTCAGCCTTCGTTCTTGGTCCTGGCCCAGCAGCCTCAGGCATGGACAGTGTCAGAATTCTTTCTCAAAGAGAGCATCCAGGAAAAAAAGACACAGTAGCCTCCCTATGCCTGACTCAGGCTAGTTCTCCCTCCTAGCCTGTTCAGTCTAGCAATCCTAACCATCCTAACAATGCTCCCCTTAGCCCTCCACTGAGGTTTAGCACTAACACCTGGACCCAGGAGTCCTTACTTGCCATCTGCCCTATCTAATTTCTGAGGGTGGTAGCATGGGGACACCATCCTGAGTCCACGGCCTTCATTTCTGCTCACCCACCTGGTCATGTGCTGATGAGACCAAGCAACCATGAAACCTCGGGTCTTGGCCAGGCACAGTGACTCACACCTGTAATCCCAGCACTTCTGGAGGCTAAGATGGGCGGATCACAAGGTCAGGAGTTTGAGACCAGCCTGGCCAAGATAGTGAAACCCCATCTCTACTAAAAATACAAAAAAAAGAAAGAAAGAAAGAAAGCTCGGGTCTCAGGAGTGTCTTGTCTGCTGTTATAATGTCGTGCTACCAGGAAGCCTTCTGACTGCTAGAAGAGAAATCTTGCCTCTGGTCCCAGTTGCACCAGTCTTTTCCACTTGGTTCTACACTGACCCTGACTACTATTGTCTTATCCTCACAGAAAGTTGAGGAAGCGAGCGGCCAAGGTCTCAGCCCGACACCCCAAGTCCCTTGGAAGGTAATGGGGCAAGAGCCCTGGGACCTCCTGCTCACCCCGTGGCCCCAGGAGGTGGATGGATGGATGGCAGCCTATCCATATCCATCCCAGAACCCAAACTGATGGATTAGGGATGTGAGGAAAATGGCTTTTCCTGTGGGGAGGTGAAGGGAGCAGGCATGGGGTTGGGCAAGCTTTGATCTTAGGGAACACAAGGAGGAAGTAATGTAGGAGCGGCTGAGAAGCCTGCCATCTTTACATGTCCCCCAAATAGCTTGGACTCCAACCTCAGCCACCTTCATTCCTCCTCCTTCCTGCCCCCTCCATCACTTCACTTAGTTCACCCACATTCCCATTCTCTCCCCTCTCCACCTTTCTTCTTCCCTCCTCCCCCTCCCAACTCTGCCACCTGGATTGACATCGCTAGATTTCCCATTACTGTTGCTGAATCCAGAGAGTAGCATGAGTTCCTGAAATGCAGTTTAGTGGTATTCGGCAGACGGTGGATGTGGAAAATCTGGCCGTCCTTCACTTTTCCTGTCCCCATGCTGCCCACGAAGGTTCTTTCCCAGAAACAGAAAAATAACCCTCTACCTTTCTTGTGCCACATACGTAACCACTACCTCTACCAACTTCCTTCTCCTTTTTGCAGACCAATCACCAAGCTTAAAGTCAAACCCAAACCCCGAGTGGGCAGGGGGCCAACCAAGAGGTAAATAAAATTCAGGTTGGGTGGAAAGGAGAGGGAGCACGGAGTTACCCAGCTGTGGCCAGGGAGGGAGGGGGTCCAGGAGGCCTGTGTGGCTGCAAGAGCTGACCAAGAAGAGCAGCAGCAGCAGCTCTTAGAAATCACTTTCCAGGGCTTTAACCAAAGTGTTACGCAAGACTGGTCCTTACCTTGGTCTCGGGAATGATGCTCTTCCCAGGATTTGTTGGTTTTTTCACTCACTGACTACCTCGTTCCACATGCTTACTTATCTTCCCCTGGTGAGTTCCAGGAGACAACCTGGTGCTTTTCTCTTTCAGACGCCATACTTGCCTCTCCTGTAAGAGGTTACATTTGCCTAAGGGATCAGTGTTCCCAAATCAAATGTTTTATTTGATTAGTTGTTGAAAATAAGTGCTACCAGCTTACTCAAGATGGAGTGAAACTCAGGGTCCCTTTGGGACCTTTACCAGGAATGTGGACAGATTGACAGCCCCTGCCTCTCTGGCTCATTTTCCACAATTAGGCTCCCAGTTCCCTAATCTTCCTCCTGGGCTCCTTTAGAACTCGAAGTGGGAAGCTTCCAACCCCTGTGATTACATCTAACTTGTCTTCAAAAGGCAGTTTGCACATTAAAAGTCTCCCTGATAACTTCAACAGGGACTGAAGTATCGATAATTCATCCCTTTCTCCTCTCCTGTTCTCAACAAGTTCTAGTCTCACCCAGTGGTCCCCTCATAGCCCTCGTTCCCCAGGTTCTCTGGTGGTTTCAAAGGATCCCAGAAATTTGGGGATGTTCTTGTAGTGCCCTTTTAGCTTAGGGTCACCTTTGCCCAACATGGCCACACTCTAGCCTTCCCTGACCCCCACATTAAAGTACACACTGCCATTTTTATTTTGTTCATTGTAGACAACGGGGATGAGGATGTTTAGAAGATAGATGTCTTTTTCCTGTGATGGGCTCTTTTTTACTTTCAGCCAAACAGGACTCTGGGAGAGTGCCTGATCTCTAGATCTTCAGGATCCATTTATCCTGAGCTTCCAAAGGTGTTCTGTAAAGTCTCCAGGCTTCCTTTGTCTGTTTTGTGTATCAACTTCTCCTCCTGTGTCTTCCTAGCCAATGGCTTCAAGTCATCATATTCCGTCCTTCCTCTGACATCAGGTGATAGGACACATTACTGCAATAATGCATGACCACATCAGCCTCACAGACCCATTCCACTGACACCAGACCTCATCTTCTTCCCTTTTTCTGTGGGCTTGACCCAACTGTTTTGGGCAGAGTGTACTTCACTCAGGCACATGCCTCACTGCAGCCTCTCATTCTATTGGTATCGATAAACAAGTCCCCCCATTCTCTCAAACATCTCAGCACCATTTCCAAGCTTTAGCATCTATAGTTCAGTCCCATTATCCTATTCAGATGGCTTTGGGACACTGTTATGTTGAAATTGCAGAAGCATGGACTGCCTTTTTAAAGACTTACACAGCACAGGTCCTGGGATGTCTCTGCCATTTTGTTGTTCACATCCACCTCCTTTCTCTGGTCATTTATTCCCTCAGACTTTGACCTGTCCTGCATTTATACATCTTCATTCTTGCATATGCCAGTCCCAGTTCTTCCTGCATCTATCTGCTGATCTGTTCTTGCTGCATCTGCCCCTCCTAATCTGTCCTGCAGAGTCTCTGGCCTCTGCGGAGCCATGTAGATGGGAGACTTCCTTAGTCCTTTGCATCCTGACTTACTCAGTTATTCCAGTCTCAGCATCACAGAAGGACTTGCTCGCCCTGGCTTTTCAGGCTTCCTGTGTCAGCCACTCCCTCCTGGCCATTTCTTCCAACTGGAAAGTCCTGGTTTCCCCTTCCCTGAGGCCTTAGCCTCAGCCTCCTTTAGGGCCAGCAGCCTGAAACCACTTGGAACAGTTTCTTCCAGGCAAGTTGAGACTAGCCATCCTTCCCTTAGGGTGGTTCTACTGCAGGAGGTCCTCAAGGGCCCTCCTGTCTAGGTAGTTGAGGCTCCCTCAGCCTGGAAACGCAGCAATCCCCATGTATCTCCGGAGGGAAACACAGAAGGGGGAAGAAGAGGGGATAAATGGTCACAAAAGGGTGGGGGGCATGGTGGAGGCTTGAAGTGGGAGGATGGTTGTGGGGCCAAGAGGCAGGAGCGTTGTTTTACCCTACTGCACCTCACTCCTGTCCCCCCAGGCTGCTGGCCCAGCGGCAGCAACACTCCTTTGGTCTGCATGGGGTGGCGTGCGTGGGCACGGAGGCCCACCTCTCCCTCTGTTCCCTGGAGTTCTATCGTGCCAATGACACCGCCAGGTGCCCTGGGGGGGGGCCCTGCGGTGGTGAGCTGTGTGCCAGGCCCTCTCTACGCAGCGTCCAGTGGCCAGAAGAAGCAACAACAGTCGAAGCCTCAGGGGGAGGTGTGTGAGACAGTGACTATGACCTTTCCCACCCCAGGTGGAGAACCCCTAGCCTGGCAACCCCTGATTAACCACAGCCCTGACCTTTGAGGACAGAGAGGAGCCTTCCAGGGGGTGGGCCACAGACCTGATACCACCCACTCCCTCCCACCAAAGTCTCACTCATCTCCTAGGTGCCCTCTCCGTGCAGATGTTGCCATTTGCCTCTGTTGGGCACTTCTCTGTTCTGTAGGCCCGTGTCCGTCTAAAGGGCGGCGCCCACCCTGGAGAGGGCCGGGTAGAAGTCCTGAAGGCCAGCACATGGGGCACAGTCTGTGACCGCAAGTGGGACCTGCATGCAGCCAGCGTGGTGTGTCGGGAGCTGGGCTTTGGGAGTGCTCGAGAAGCTCTGAGTGGCGCTCGCATGGGGCAGGGTGAGGCGGCATGGAGGGAGGGAGGGAGAGGGAAGGAGGTACATGCTCCTGGGGGGCACATTCCTTCGGAAGGTTAGGTGTCCCCTGGCAGACAGTATATGCTTAGTTACAACTTCCTGATCTTTGCCATCCGGTCCTAGGCATGGGTGCTATCCACCTGAGTGAAGTTCGCTGCTCTGGACAGGAGCTCTCCCTCTGGAAGTGCCCCCACAAGAACATCACAGCTGAGGATTGTTCGCATAGCCAGGATGCCGGGGTCCGGTGCAACCTACCTTACACTGGGGCGGAGACCAGGGTCAGTCATCCTCTCCACCTTGGTTGAGGTCTCTTTCATCCTATCCAGGCCTGGCCTCCAATCTATAGTCCAATGGCCCCCAGCCCATGGACTGGCCCCTGCCATCCTACAGCTCCCACCTGACCCATCACGTGCTAGCCCATTATGTGCCTCTGAGTCATGCTTCAGCTACATCTATGTTACAGACTTCCACTACCTCACCTCAAAGCTTCCTCCAGCGCTTCCATTCTGTGTCACTACAGATCCGACTCAGTGGGGGCCGCAGCCAACATGAGGGGCGAGTCGAGGTGCAAATAGGGGGACCTGGGCCCCTTCGCTGGGGCCTCATCTGTGGGGATGACTGGGGGACCCTGGAGGCCATGGTGGCCTGTAGGCAACTAGGTCTGGGCTACGCCAACCACGGCCTGCAGGTGAGTGGGAAGGAGAGGGGAGCCGAGGCTGTTGTCTCAAAGCCTGTGTTTTGGGCAGAGGGCTGAGGAATGAGTTCCTTGGCCCAAGATGCTGGATCCTGGGCCTTACAGAAACATCTGCATATATCCCCAGGAGACCTGGTACTGGGACTCTGGGAATATAACAGAAGTGGTGATGAGTGGAGTGCGCTGCACGGGGACTGAGCTGTCCCTGGATCAGTGTGCCCATCATGGCACCCACACTACCTGCAAGAGGACAGGGACCCGCTTCACTGCTGGAGTCATCTGTTCTGAGAGTGAGTGAAGGAAGGGGTGATGCATGCCAGGGAAGGGAGGGTCTGGGCCACCCCTTTGCTGGGAACGGGGGCTGTAATCTGGAGGGGCACTCATTCCCCATAAAAGAACCAGTTTCACCAGGCAGGCATGGTGGCTCACACCTGTAATCCCAGCACTTTAGGAAGCCAAGGCGGATGGATCACGAGGTCAGGAGTTCAAGACCAGCCTGGCCAAGATGGTGAAACCCTGTCTCTACTAAAACTACAAAAATTAGCCAGGTGCGGTGGCAGGCGCCTGTAATCCCAGCTATTTGGGAGGCTGAGGCAGGAGAATCACTTGAACCCGGGCGGCAGAGGTTGCAGTGAGCCAAGATCACGCCACTGCACTCCAGCCTGGGTGACAGAGTGAGACTCTTTCTCAAAAAAAAAAACAAAAAACAAAAAACCACAACCAAAAAAACAGTCCCACACACTAGGGAGGGATGGAAGCACCCCTCTCTGTGAAGTCAGCAGTGACTTCTAACACCCTCTTCCTTTATCGGTGCAGCTGCATCGGATCTGCTGCTGCACTCAGCATTGGTGCAGGAAACCGCCTATATTGAAGACCGGCCCCTGCATATGTTGTACTGTGCTGCGGAAGAGAACTGCCTGGCCAGCTCAGCCCGCTCAGCCAACTGGCCCTATGGTCACCGGCGTCTACTCCGATTCTCCTCCCAGATCCACAACCTGGGACGAGCTGACTTCAGGCCCAAGGCTGGGCGCCACTCCTGGGTGTGGCACGAGTGCCATGGGTGAGAGGGTAGGGAGTCAAGTAGAAAGGCAAGGCCACGGGGATGGGGCAAACCTTCTGGGGGCAGAGAAGGAAACAGAAGTTCCCTTCTCCCCACAGGCATTACCACAGCATGGACATCTTCACTCACTATGATATCCTCACCCCAAATGGCACCAAGGTAGCTGAGGGCCACAAAGCTAGTTTCTGTCTCGAAGACACTGAGTGTCAGGAGGGTGAGTTGGGGCCTGAAGTGGACCACATGGTATCCATCGCACAGCCTTTCCTTACACTGACATATGCCAATCCCTCCAGATGTCTCCAAGAGATATGAGTGTGCCAACTTTGGAGAGCAAGGCATCACTGTGGGTTGCTGGGATCTCTACCGGCATGACATTGACTGTCAGTGGATTGATATCACAGATGTGAAGCCAGGAAACTACATTCTCCAGGTACCTAGAGTCTGGGGCTTCCAGATGGGTGACTGGGGGGAGCGTTAAAGACACCTTTGAATTTGAGGATTGTTGCTGGGTTAAGTGGCCTTTTTCTCACTCACAGGTTGTCATCAACCCAAATTTTGAAGTAGCAGAGAGTGACTTTACCAACAATGCAATGAAATGTAACTGCAAATATGATGGACATCGAATCTGGGTGCACAACTGCCACATTGGTATGTGATGGGAAGAGCAACCCAGGAAGATTAGGGGATGGGAGGGAAAGACGTTCATTCTCTTTTCTGTAACTTGTTTCTGCATCTTCCCACCCTCCTCTGGAGCTCTCAGTCCTTCCACTTGTACCCATCCTTCTCCACAGTGGGTCTGTCTCCCTCCCTCTGTGCAGGGCGCCTCCCAAATTGCCTGTCTACTCTGCAGGTGATGCCTTCAGTGAAGAGGCCAACAGGAGGTTTGAACGCTACCCTGGCCAGACCAGCAACCAGATTATCTAAGTGTCATCGCCCTCTGCAAACCACCACTGGCCCCTAATGGCAGGGGTCTGAGGCTGCCATTACCTCAGGAGCTTACCAAGAAACCCATGTCAGCAACCGCACTCATCAGACCATGTACTATGGATGTGGAACTGTCAAGCAGAAGTTCTCACCCTCCTTCAGAGGCCAGCTGTCAGTACCTGTAGCCAAGTATGGGAATCTTTCCTCCCAGGCCCAGCACCGAGCAGAAGAGAACAGAGCCCACCACACCACAAAGAGCAGCACCTGACTAACTGCCCACAACAAAAGATGGCAGCAGCTCATTTTCTTTAATAGGAGGTCAGGATGGTCAGCTCCAGTATCTCCCCTAACCTTAGGGGGATACAGCTTTACCTCTAGCCTTTTGGTGGGGGAAAAGATCCAGCCCTCCCACCTCATTTTTGACTATAATATGTTGCTAGGTATAATTTTATTTTATATAAAAAGTGTTTCTGTGATTCTTTAGAGCCCTGGAATCAGTGCTGGTGGTTGGAGGGACCTGCCCCCACTGGTTCATTTAACCCTCTGTCCCGGCGCCCTCAGAGCCTCAGCCAGGAAGGCAAGGAGGAAATCAGAGCAGGAGCCTCATACTCTTGGTGATCTATTCATTCTGTGACCTCAGGGGTCACATATAAGGTCAGTGTTTCTCGTCCCCGCCGGATCTGCACTGCCAGCTGGGATTGGGTTCGAACAGCTTCATAAACATCTTCAGCATTTTGTACCATCTGCCCCCCAATGGCCAAAATCACATCACCAGGCCGCAGACCAGCCCTACAGAGAAAAATGGACAGAGAGAAAAGAAGGAGTACAAAGCCTAGTTCAAGGACACATGCACACCTCACCCATCCCCATATCACACTGCAGCCTCTCCCTCACCGGTGTGCAGGGGAGCCCAGGATGACTTTATGGATGAGTACACCATGCTGAACATCGGGAAAGCTTGGTTCTCGAAGCTGTAGTTCAGCAAGGATGCTGAAAGTACACAGATCACCCTATTAGCCAAACCCAGGCATTCTCCCCATCCTGAGTTCCACCTCAAGTCTCTCATCAACACATTGGCAAATATATGGACAGGACATGCGCTAGGTACTACAAAATACAACAGCAACTCACTTTCTGTCTTCTAGCAATAAAGTGCAACATGTACATAAAAGATGTACACCACATGAGGGCACCAAATGACAAACAGTATTAAATCAATAGCACTAATGTCATTCTAGAGTACTAAAAGAAGCTTTAAGGGGAAAAAACTTAAGCTGAGCCTAAAAGGATGTGTCTGATATTAACCATATAAAACAAGAACAGCATAAATAAAAAACATGGGAGTAGGAAATCAGGTTGGCTGAGTATTCATATAGGAAGGTATTACAGCCAGGTCTAGAAAGTTGATTTACAGACAGATGGAAAATGCCCTTAAATGCCAAGTTAATGGATTGAAGGCTTGAAATCAAAGCAGTAACAGGATAAAATCAGTCTGACAGGTGTACAAAGTGGAGTGGGATAAGAAAGTCAAGATGATGAGGGGAGACAGCTCTTGTGATTATTTCAAGTGTGACATAGTTCATTTTAGATAAAGACAGAAATGAGAACAAAGCTCAACAGAGGTGCCCACCTCTGATTACAATGGTCACATTACATGTCACTATCCCTAAAGCTCATACCTGGGACTCAGGGTCAGCATCATCACCCCAATGTAGCGTCGCTGGGACCCACTGATTCCAGAGGAGGAATCTGTGACAGAGGGACAAATAAGCCCCACCCAGCTACATCCTTCCTTCCCTGCCCTCTTCTCCCAATAGACCACCCTCCAGTAAGTCCCAATGAATGCCCCTCCCATATTTCCCCATAAGCCAGGCTCACTCTTCTTTTCCCCACGATGCAGAAACTCTCGAAGGCGATCAGAAGGGATGGCAAAGGAGATTCCAGCTGTGACCTTCATGGTGTTCACTCCAATCACCTCTCCATCCTGCAGGGATACATCCCCCAGTTCCCTAGCCCAAACAAATAGTAGGGGATGGGGGCACCCGAACAAAAGTAGCAGCAAGTGTTGGGGAGATCCAGTTGGATGTTAAGAGATAGCCAACAAAGAACTGCTCAGAAACTTGACCAAACATCCTTGAATTAGGGAAAACCTACCCTTCCCACACAGACCTGGGGCTGGGATTCTTGGAAGGAAGGATGTCTCACTCACCAGGTTAACCAGGGGACCTCCAGAGTTCCCAAACTGCAGGACAAGGAGAAAACATGAAAGAGACCTGAGGATTCTAAGTCTGGGGGCATACCAGGATGTAGGTACTTTCTCCAAATTCTCTTCTTTCTCAGCCCATGAATGAGTAGCCACATTTTTGCAGCCTAAGCTCTGTATATAGGCTCATCCACCATATATCAGTTGGTGCTTGTACCACACAGCCTCTCCCCACTCCCCCATCATGTGTCATTTCTCTCCTATCAGGACGCACATCAATAGCTGCATCCGTCTGAATGTATTCCACATTGGTTTGGGGGAGTCCCAGGTCTCTGGCTGGACGCTGAGCAGAGCTAACAATGCCGGATGTGATCGTGTTCTGCAGTGCAAAGGGACTTCCCATGGCAACAACAAACTCCCCTTGCCGGACATCAGCTGAGCGTCCCAGAGGCAGTGTGGGGAGAGGCTCCTAAGGGAGAATGGGTATAAGAGACCTGTCATCTGGAGATGCGAGCAAACAAGCAGCTCCAACCAGACTTGGCCTACCCCAGCCCCCACCTTAGTCTGAATCCTCAGCGTTGCGATGTCTGCCACGGGATCCACAGCTGTGACCACGGCCTCATACGTGTCGCCGCTAAGCAGTCTCACACGGACTCTGCGCCGATCAGCCACCACATGGGCGTTGGTGACAATGAGCCCATCGGCAGCCACCACGAATCCTGAGCCGTTCGAGATAGGGACTTCACGGCCCAAGAAAGGGTGCCTGGAATGGAGGGAAAGCACGGATAAGAGGGAGGCTCTGACCCCTCCTACCCGCCCGCCCTCCGGCCGTGGCTTCAGTGCCTCCCGGTCTACCCCCATTACCGGTCCAGGATCTCGATATAGACCACGGCAGGTGCTGTCTTCTCCACCACATCTGCGATGAAGTTGTACTGACTCCGGGGAGAAGCGGGCGGCGGGCCAGGGACGGCGGCGAGGACGGCCGGAGGACCCCGACCCCCGCCCCACAACAACAACAGCACTGCCCCCCCAGCGCCCAGTGCCACAGCCAGCCACGCGCGCGAACGGGTTCCAGAGTTCTCTGAGGCCTCCCGGGTCCTGGTATCTGGGGTCACCGCAGTCAGTTGTGCCCGGGGACCCGGGGTCCCAGACGTCAGACATGCTCGGGGTTCAGTGACCCCAACACACAACCGGGCCCAGAGACTGGGGGTCCCATAAGTCACTCGGGCCCGGGGGTCAGAAGTTCCTGACGTCAGCAGGGCCCGGAGGTCAGGGGTCAACCGGGGTCTCCTCCCCCAGCGAATGCCCCCCAAAGCCCGCCATGCCCGAAGGCTCCAGCCTGCACCCCGCCCCGCCCTCGGCGCAGCCATCAGCTCCGCCTCGGCTGCCTCCTCGCCCGCCCTACTCAGAGGCGGCACCCAGGACGCGAGCAGGCGGACAGTAGGACGCGGGGCACGCCGGTACCTGAAGTCCTCCAGAAGTGCACGTCGGGACCAGGATTCCGGGAGGCCGACTCCTCCCCGTCCCGCGAATGCCGGGAATTGTGGTCTCCGTGGGACGCGAGTTGTGAGACGGCCCAAGGGGCCGCAGGGTATGCTGGGACCGCTAGCCCTTCCGGCGCGCCTCAAGACTTCGGGTCCTGTCACCCCGGGCGGATGCCCAAAGACTCCGCCTTCCCAGGAGCCCCTGCGGCCAGGCGCGAAGATGGCGGCGGCGACGGCCGGGCGCTCCTGAAGCAGCAGTTATGGAGCTTCCCTCAGGGCCGGGGCCGGAGCGGCTCTTTGACTCGCACCGGTAAGAGACCCGGCGGGAAGAGACCTATCCCTGCGTCCTCTCGGCCTTCGGCGCCCGACCACTTCGCCTCTCGCCCCCAGGCTCCCGGGTGACTGCTTCCTGCTGCTCGCGCTGCTGCTCTACGCGCCGGTCGGGTTCTGCCTCCTCGTCCTGCGCCTCTTTCTCGGGATTCACGTCTTCCTGGTCAGCTGCGCGCTGCCAGACAGCGTCCTTCGCAGGTTCCGACGCGGGCGTTTGGGGAGTGTCAAAGCTGGGCCTGGCCCGAGGCCACACAGTCACCACCGCCTGTGTCCCCAGGTTCGTAGTGCGGACCATGTGTGCGGTGCTGGGGCTCGTGGCCCGGCAGGAGGACTCCGGACTCCGGGATCACAGTGTCAGGGTCCTCATTTCCAACCACGTGACACCTTTCGACCACAACATAGTCAATTTGCTCACCACCTGTAGCACCGTGAGTGAGAGCGAGGCCGAGAGCGCCACGGGGCGGTTCCCTGGGGTCCAGCTGAAGGCACCCCTGTCCCCACTCGCGTTCCCCATGGAGGATACTGAGCCTTACCCCTAACCCCGATCCTCTACCCCACATGTCAGTTTTTTTCATTTTCCTCAATTTTTTTCTTCTTGCTTTCTCTTCTCCTGGTTCCCAGCCTCTACTTAATAGTCCCCCCAGCTTTGTGTGCTGGTCTCGGGGCTTCATGGAGATGGATGGGCGGGGGGAGTTGGTGGAGTCACTCAAGAGATTCTGTGCTTCCACGAGGCTTCCCCCCACTCCTCTGCTGCTATTCCCTGAGGAAGAGGCCACCAATGGCCGGGAGGGGCTCCTGCGCTTCAGGTGGGTTTAGCACAGGTATCGGGTGCCAACTGGGTAGGTGGTCGAGCTTGTGGGCCCTTGAGTTTTTACAACCTTCTTCGGCCCTTAGCCCCCAACATCTCTAGTTCATTTCCTTTCTGTCCACTTTTAGTTCTTTCTCCTGAATGCCTTCTTTCTTCAATTGTGTGCTTGTAGAGTTTGACAGTTGCCTGTTTTAAGGCACCTATGATCTGCTGACTAGCCTGGCTGGATTCCCATCCTACTTTCTCCTTCCTCTTCTAGTTCCTGGCCATTTTCTATCCAAGATGTGGTACAGCCTCTTACCCTGCAAGTTCAGAGACCCTTGGTCTCTGTGGTGAGTGTGTGTTGAACAAGGAATCTCTGGGGCTTGGAGGGGAAGTTTCCCATCCCTGGCCCTGGCTTAGGCCTCACTTCATGCCCTCCCCTCAGACGGTGTCAGACGCCTCCTGGGTCTCAGAACTGCTGTGGTCACTTTTCGTCCCTTTCACGGTGTATCAAGTAAGGTATTATTAACTGCCCTCACATTTTGGTTGCTGGGGAGAGGCTCACCTCAAGGTCAAGGAATTAGTGGCCTCTGCCCTGTCCATTTGTAGATCTTTATATCAGAGTTCTACCACAGAAGCAACACAAAGTATTTACAGTATTTACTATTT